AACAATATAGTAAAATAGGAAGTATAATGCAGCAATTTAACCATAAAAAGTGAACAGAATTACTTATATTTTGTGAAAAAGCGACAGGAAGTATAATGCAGCAATTTAACCATAAAAAGTGAACAGAATTACTTATATTTTGTGAAAAAGTGGAATTATTTTTGGTGACGTAACCACTTTAAATTACCCTTTTATCTTGTTTCGCCTTTAATCATGCATGCTCGTCGTTCATGTCTTCATCGCGAACACGACGGATTAAAAAAATACCAGCCATCGAGTTTCACCTCACCGACAGCACTTCGGCGCCGGCGGATCAAATATAGCGAATGTTTGCAATATTGATCAGACAAATAACACCGCTACACAGCGACATGACAGAGACATGACAGCGACATGACAGCGACATAACAGCGACATGACAGCGACATGAGCAGGGAACACAGCCGGTGGCCATACACGACGCTGCATGGTCTCATGTTTATGCTCTTCATAAAACCTCTCAAGGATTGCTATCCATACACGCCCGCAGCCAGAGACGCGATTTTAACTGTAAACATCGGCATTAGAGTTGTATGCTGCTGCCTACATGACCTTCACACAGTGGTTTCATCTATGCGTAACTCTAACCTCCTCAAGCTATGCATACAACCACCCACCGCCCATCTCATTACCCCGATATCCCTCAAACACAGGCTATACTCATGCCCGAACACTTATCCACCTGACCACCCAAACGCCCTCCCCATTGAAATACCCACCCAAACGCTCTCCCCGCCGAAATACCCACCCAAACGCCCTCCCCACCGAAATACCCACCCAAACGCCCTCCCCACTGAAATAACCAACCAACCGCCCTCCCTGCCGAAATACCCACCCAAACGACGCCCTCCCCACTGAAATAACCAACCAACCGCCCTCCCTGCCGAAATACCCACCCAAACGCCCTCCCCGCTGAAATACCCACCAAAACACCCTCCCCGCCGAAATACCCACCCAAACGCCCTCCCCACCGAAATATCCACCCTCCTATCCAAATCCAGCGACCCACCCATCCAAATCCAGCGACGCACCCAGCCATACACCCAGACCTCACCCACCAGTATTGTGTTAACCATGTTGTATCGTCCTAGCATCCTGCCGGAAGGTGGTGCTGTAATCGGTAAGGCAGTGTAACCGAGGCAAGGTGGTGTGACCGGTAAGGCATCGATATGCGAATACCCTCGCGTACAGACATATTGTGTGCGTAAATTTTGGTGGGCATTACGGTGAAGAAGGCTAATGAATATGACAAGCTATTCACCATACCGCCACACGATGAGTCATGTCATTAATATGCTGTAATAAAAACACTGATACTCATTAGCGCTCCTTTTCCAAAAAATATGAATGAGCACGGAATCCTGAAACTCGAACGCGTTCGAGTTATTAGGATATTTAACACCTATATAAGGTTTCATGAAAATCTATCACCCTCTAGGGGTAATGCTATCCCCCGGGCGTGGAGGGAGGTGACCGCAACGTGGCAGCACTAGTGTTGAGATAGTGTTAGCATTAGGGTTAGGGTCAGGATTAGGGTTAGGGTTAGGGTTAGGGTTAGGGTTAGGATTAGGGTTAGGTTTAGGGTTAGGGTTAGGATTAGGGTTAGGGTTAGGGTTAGGATTAGGGTTAGGGTTAGGAACTGCCGGGCATTTAGGAAATTGAAGACCGTGCCCGGCTGCCGGGCATATAGCCACAGCGTTTAAAATATGGGTGTTGTCTCTCTTTTATCATACCTAACATCCGCTTGCAAATATAGTCACTAGAGCGATAATAGAGCGAACATGCGTACGCACGCAAGAGCTGAACCCTATATCCCACCCCACCAACACCTTTGCGAGGGTATGAAACAGCCATGCAACAAAGATTTAAACCAGCCACTCGTCCGTCCTATAACCAGCCATTGAACGGTTTTCAGCATCGTAAACAATGTGAAACGTAGACCTCGTCACGGCCTCCATTGTTGCGTCTTTACGTGGCGATATTCGGCCTCTAAATAGCTTAAACGCAATCCATCACAATCTTATTGATCCTGCGCACGTTACCGAACACAAAGGATGTGCCAAGCCGAAAGCGGGATTAGTTTATGATATGCGTTAATAAATTACAGAATGTGCCAGTAATAACAATATGCATCAAACGGAATCTAACTTTAATTTTATCTAAATTAAACTTTAATCTGTTAGATCAACTGGAGAGAAGACCAAATCGATTGTAGAGACGGTGTTTATTGACGGTTTATACACATCGCATCTATTCGCAGGTACACCGATCTGTGCAACAACAATAATAGCAATAACAAACAACAACTGACTCAAAAAAAGAAACGTTCTAAAATTAAATTGTAAATAGAAATATATAAACAAAATACGTCTATCAAAATATAACGGGGTCACGTAAAACACCAGTAAACTTAAAATACCCTGCAGGTTTTTACTCTCTCAGATCTTTGAGTGCAGCTCGTCTGCTCGCTACCAAATTTCATCGCAAAGCTAAAATTATTCTAAAAAGTTGTCCACGAATTTTCAATTCCCATTTCACTTATCCAATTATTTGAATGCCTGGGAAAACAAGGAGCCTGACAAGTGCTATGGACACGCGATGTTCACGTGCTCATGTTGAAGCATAATTACTGAGAATCAATAGGCTCCACATTGAATACCTTTAACAAATGTGTAACAACAACCCCCGGGGTTACCTTCACATAACTGCTTGCCATAGCGATAGTCTAGCAATCGCTCGGGATTCTAAAACACTAACGCGCACTCACGATCATTTTTTTAACTATTTATTTCGATCACACTAACAGCTTTGACATGGGGCGGCTCGGTAGCAGTTAATAATCTCGGTATAATAGTAGACGTGTGTTTCAATACACATCTCAAGTTACGCTCTACGCGTGCATGAGACAAGACAATTGTGTGAATTGATTTGCATGCTCGGGTGCTGACTAGAATAGCGATTTCTATACGCAAAATAAAGCAACGATAGAATCTAAATCTTTAATACTGTACAGTGGTTTACATAAATTACACAATGAATTGATTCTATTAGGCAGGTTTTAAATGGAAACATCTCCTTTTGATTTCCTTTCGACTTTTTCTCCTCGAGAAAATTGGTTAAATTAACTCTTTTCTCGAATGCTGCCCGCGTCCTTAAAGTAATAACGAATTCTGCATAAATCACATGCTTGGATTCCCGCATTGACTCAATTCCGTCAATGGTCATCCTGTATCAATTTATGTATCTTCATTACCCTTCACGAAGCCATCACACCCTACAACTCGTACCCCCCCTCAGCCTCCCCCTGTATGCGCCTTACCCAGCCAGCTTCTCGCCAACACCACGTATACACAAAGCTAGCCGCTCTCCGCATCTCTCCACAGCACTTATGCACAAAAGCTAACCCCACTCCGCATCCACTACGCCAACCGGCTGCCTTTACTTATTCACGACTTGCCTAGTACACCCCTTCTCTAAGTGAGCCAGCTTCCATCTATACGCTCTCTATCATGCCTGCTGCCTCTCCCTACGCTGTGCGTCCCCTAAGCCAGCAGCTAGCGTGCCCGCGCACGCACTAAGCCAGCTCGAGCGCGTCCTTCTCGTAGAGTGAGCGCAGCACCTTCACAGGCTTCTTCTCCTGCTCCTCCAGGTAGGCAGCTTCCTGCATGTCATGTCTGTTGAAGAGCAGCTGACGGAAGGCGACCTCGCTCAGTCCGAGGTCGGACTGCAGCAGCTGCTGCCAGTCGTACGGCATGCTGGCGATCGCGTCCTGCCGAGAGAGCAAAGGCGAAGCAACGTGAGGTTTTTCTGAAATCCGCTTCTCGCACGGCGAGTTTTCACACGCTTGGATGGCGTGAGCAGTAAGGAGATGAGGAGGTGGAGGAGGAGGGAGGAGGAGGAGAAGGAGGAACAAGAGGAGGAAAAAAACAGAGGAGGACGAGGAGACGGAGGAGGAGTAGGAAGATGAGGAGACAGAGGAGGAGCAGGAGGATGAGGAGGAGGTTCAAGGAGACGGAGGAAGGTGAGGAGACAGGGGAGGAGTAGGAGGAGCAGGAGGATGAGGAGGAGGTTCGAAGTCGGTGATTATCGAACGTCCGCCACAAAGACGTTTTCATTGCGACTCCATCAATTTTGTAAAATATTTAAGAGCTTCGTGTAAAATCCCTAGATGTTAAAGGGCAATCGGATTTTAGCTTGCATGCTTAACCACTCGGGTAAAAACTGAAAAGCTGCACAATTTCGACAAACAGCATTGCATTAAAGGCAATTTTTTACCGAAGCCCTCACTAGTATATGAGCACACACACTCACCTTTATCCTCTTGCTAGTTAACAAGCACATACACTCACCTTTACTCTATTGCTAGTTAACAAGCACATACACTAACCTTTATCCCATTGCTAGTTAGAAAGCACACACACTCACCTGATCAAAGACTCCGGTACCAATCATGTTGATCTCCTTGAGTGGGTTAAATTCGGTGCTAACGTCGGGGGGCAGGGCACTATTATTGAAGCTGGCGACGATGCCGGTGGTATCGGCGTGCGGATAGAGCGAGGGTATGTCAAGCTGCGATGTCAGCCATGTCATGTTGTTTTTCAACAGGTAGTAGACCTGCAGTCAACACAAATTCGGGAAACATTTATTTAGCACTAGAAAATGCATGATACACTGATATCATACGGATAATCATATTGAAGATGGGGTGGAGGAAAAAATGCTACGGATAAGGAATGCCCTGCACCCCTTGGGAGGCCACTGCAGCTACTGTAAGATTGTCTTTGTGATGTGAAGTGGTGACGTTTGTGTAACTGCAGTCTTCATTTCATTAGACACAAGCGAAAAGTGAAACGATGTCAAAAACGTGATGTGAAATTCTCAACACGCTTCAGATTTCTTTAATAGTGTAGAGATGTAAAATTTAATAATCATGTCTTCATCTTCATCATGATAATCACGGTGTGTGGTCAATGTGATGAATACAGAAGGGATGTATTGCAGCTTACGAAACAACAACACCTAATGCCACTGACCTCTCGCCTAAGACTAAAGCAACAAGTTAATACTGGAAACAGATTCCATCCCAATTCAGGTATACTCTAGAATTTAGAAACCTAACTGAATAGAGTCTATTACTTGTTCAGAATTATCAATTTCAATGCAATATCTTGAAGTTATTTGTTGTCTTGTTAAAAGGTATTAAAGGCATACTAGACCCATTGATTATGCAATGTTGACGAATGCTAGAGTAACTGGCACCTTGTGTAGTTAATAAGTACATAACCTTACATCCAAACGCGTATTAGTTTGTCCAATATCACTGCTGGTTACTAAGAAATGTCTAATTGAAATCCGCAGTACAAGAAATCAGTTGTTTACAGTTTCAAACCGCTGCCGGCGAAGCGGGTGTAATACAGATTTATAGTGCACCGGACATTTTCGCACGCATGCTCGGCCGTACGCAATGCTATCATCAGTGATTTCGTAAACACGGACGCTCGTGATAAGAAACTTTTTGTCAGGGCTGTCCACGTGCGTCCGTGATTAGTACGTGTGTTTTACTCCATTTCCATGTTTAGTCCGTGGCCGTGGTTACACCGCTGACACCTCCATTTCATCTGGCGTCCAAAACATCTGGGCCGCACAAATGTTTACATCATCGCTCGACTCCAGGATGACATTTACAGCACGTAAATGAATATCAACAACCGATTTCAAGTCTTGCTTGTAATGTAACCAGCAGTGATATTGGACAAACTAATACGCATTTGGCTATAAGGTTATGTACTTATTAACTACACAAGGTGCCAGTTACTCTAGCATTCGTCAACATTGCATAATCAATGGGCCCTAGTGTGCCTTTAATGGTTGCCCGACAGGCAAATATTTCCATTGTACTCCATGTATTGCTATCAGAACACTCCTCAACCATTAGCTAGTATCCAGGTAGAGAGGCTTTCACACAGCTACCATAAGGAATGAGTGCAGCCATGCAGACACCCTCACCCAATGCATGCTTTGGTTGCCACCAGGTGCCTCTAATATCTCTCCAGCCATATTTGCTAGCAGCTCATCGGCAAACTCTTGTGGAGCATCATGATAGAAATTCTCCTTCGGCAGGGAAAATGTGCTAATAAAATGCATTAAAACGGAGAAATTTAACATTCTAACTCAAATTAAAATTAAAAATTTATAAAACGAAAAGGTGTTAAAACTGTCGACAACAAAATTATATGAATTAGCAATTACCAGGAACGTAATTCTCCCATGAACACATTAACACTGAAAATCCTACAGTGAAAATACACTGCCATGCTGGATTACTCAAAGAGACTATATTGCATTAAAATTTTATTTTAAATTTAAATTTATTACCCAAAGAACTGCTTTATGCTATCAATGTTCGACTGCAGAAAATCTTTCCTAGTGAGAATAAAGCCTTGGGCCAGTTCCTCACTTGGTCGCCGTGGTCTGATGCCTGAATAGAGAAAACAGCCACTTTATAATAGTTACCCGGATTAGACACTATTAATAACTGCACTTCAACAAATTTTCAATTGGTACATCTCACATCATTTATAACTTTGCACCGGCTCGGCCAACGTAATTTTTTATTCGGCCGACGCGCAAGGCATACTGGCCGGTGTGCTTGTGCTGCCACCTACTGGAGGGGTTAGCAATGATGAGCTGGTAGAGACATTCGCCGAGGGTGTTCAGTTTCTCCTGCATTGCTGGGTTGATGCGAGCGCCCAGAATCTTCTCCAGGTGGCTTCCTATGTGCAGATGGTAGTGAAGCCCCGCTGCCAGCATCTGAAAGCACACGTGAGCGCAAACATTCCCAGGGGCCCGTTGTCAGAAACATCATAAAGTCAAGGCTAATGTTAATGCTAAGATAGCACTTACGACTAATGTTAAGGTTAAGTCTAAGGTTAAGATGCTAATTTTGTTTCTGACAACGAGCCCCAGGCCTTGAAATTTGACGACTGCTATCTGCCATGGTGAGTAAAAGTATATATTTAGGTGCGTAAAAGGTAGGTCTATGCCAGCCCCTGCTCCACCCAACCCCACCCCAACCACAGCCGAGGCACACGTCATATTCCCTGCCTCTTCGTGAACCATAATTTTTTCAGTAATTTCTGACTTGCACTCCTAATAGTTAAAAAATTTTATTACGATTTATTGTATAACAATTGAAAGATCTTTGAAGTCAAGAAAATTTAATTAGTAGATTAAACATGAATACCATAGTAATGCATAAATGCAACTTCACTTCACAGACAAATATATATACAAATCTACTCTATTGTTTCAGGCATAAGGCATTAAAGGAATAATATGTCCATTGATTATGCAATGTTGACGAATGCTAGAGTAACTGGCACCTTGTGTAGTTAATAAGTACATTACCTTATAGCCAAACGCGTATTAGTTTGTCCAATATCACTGCTGGTTATCACTTGACTCCTGGATGATATTTACGGCACGTAAATGAATATCAACAACCGATTTCAAGTCTTGCTTGTACTGTAACCAGCAGTGATATTGGACAAACTAATATGCGTTAGGCTATAAGGTTACGTACTTATTAACTGCACAAGGTGCCAGTTACTCTAGCATTCGTCAACATTGCATAATCAATGGGCTTATTATGCCTTTAATTAGTTTTGTGAATCTTTGAATCTACGAAACCACAGTTATGGTATAACTAACTCCTTATTCTACTCGCCGAACGTGATCATCAGTTGCATTAAAGCCAACATCCTAATCTTGATTCATTAATGACAAACGGGACAAGGGTGAGCGTAGTAAGTGTACCTGTAGACCCACGCTGTCGTGAGCAGGCTGCTGTATGTGCGCGCGTAGCAGGTCCTGCATGCGAGCGAAGAACATGCACACGGACACGGGAACGGTGCTCAGTGCTGCCACCATCGCGTCCAGCATTGCTTCGATCGCCACGTGCAACACATCCTTCTTAGAATCTGCAATCACATAACAACACACACACACGGTGGTTGCCCTATTGTCAGCATCGGATAAGCGACCTACCTTGGGTACATTATCAACACTTACAGGAGTATTGTCAGTATCTGTACACAATACGATAAGCGACCTACCTTTCAAGTAGGCATTTTATCAGCACATACACGTGTATTGTCAGTATCTGCACACAGCGTTATAGCCTACCTTCGTGATGGAAGAGTTGTTTGTTGACGCATCCACACGGCAGGTCGGAGAACGGTGTCCAGAAGTTGGGAGCGTCAGAGTCAGCGATAGCTGACCTGCACAGCACAGCCCGCAGTCCTGGCTCCAACACCCTGCAGCACACACGGCGACTCCACTGCTTAGTTCACACGCGCACGGCTACAGCGACGGCAAGCTTTCGTTATGCATCGTATCATAAACGTTCATTGCCTAACTACCTCCTTCATTTAAAAAATTATGTAAAAACAATTCTTGTAAACATTTTTTTTACAAAATTGCCATCTGACAATTTTCTGACTATAACTTTTTGATTGCATTACTACTACTGTCTCGAATACTTCCTTAATTGCAATCTCACATTTTAATATAACTGTTCAGTTATTTAAATATAAACCAGAATCCCAATATTTTGTTACCATTTCTTTAACTGTGATTAAGTAAATCTTTAATGATTTGCAATCTCACAAATTTCTCTAACCTTTGATTTAACTCCACGGTTTCACGCAATCCCGTGGTGGACAGGCAACCTTGCAGAAGATACTAACCTGTTGAAGAATGGCTCCATGAGCGTGTAGAGGGCCTGCAGGGCCGGCGGCAGTTCTGGTAATTCCACGGGCTTGACATTCGCATCACACAGGTACCACAGGTTGGCTCTGTACAAAAACAATCACAGATGGCCATTACGAGAACTCGCAATGCAGCAGGTGATATTCGGAATGCGTCTCAATGCGTCAATAAAGTGGCCAGCGTACCTGTCAATCACTGGTTCTAACACCTTGGCCAGCGCTTCGGGTAGGTGATAGCAGAGGCTGAGTACGTGCAGAATCGGCGTGAATAGATTCGCGCACTGCCCGCTGCACGACTGACACTCCTCTCCACAGCAGAGGGCGCCTCCGCAGGATGCGGGCTTGGTTTCCACGGCGACCAGGCGATCGGCGGGGAGCGTCAACAGCATGATAGGCAGAGTGAAGTCTTTAAAGAGCAGCAGCTGGTGAACAGACAAGATCACACGATTGCAGGGGACAGGTTCATTAAAAAAAAATTTGGTGAGCTAAAATTTCAAATAAAAAATGAATTGGCTTATCTGTCAAAAAAATATTATTGCCATTTTTATTTTTAAATGGTTTTGATTAAGCAGAATTATCAGTGAGGGCACATTCTGATGCAAAAGGTACTATTGTCTGTCAATTGAATTTTTTTTCAATCGTAAATAGTGTTTTTCATAAATCACATTTATAGCAATCCGTGGGCATGCTTGATTCCTACTGGCTGCAGACTGACTAGCAATTTGTGATGGAAGTAGTAATTTGTACCCTGCGATCAGTAAACACAAATGATTAGTAGTAATGACTGATAGAAACACCATGTTTTGATGGCAAGAGTAAATAAGAAAAGAAGTTTGTGAATTGACCAAACCCCACTTATCTAATGAATATCACTGCACAACGAGCCAAATGAACATGACTGAACATCACTACTGACTAGTCTCACTGAACACCATTGATTCGAATGAAAGCACCGTTGGTTACTATGTAAAAACTCTTTACCTGTAACAGAAGAGACCAGTTGGGTTGAGGCTGACTGTCCAGTAGTCTGAGCAGTATATACAGCACGTTGGTCGTTTGCATTTGGTTCACACTGCAAGCACAAACAACAGGTAATGCCTGTGCTAATGCGTGAACAGCAGATTCGATTATCGATAATTAATTGCATGCAGTAACTGATTAGTTAGTTATAAAAAACACTTGAGAATGCAAAACGAAGTAGTGTTGTCAGCACTTACTGTCTAGTATTTCAGCGATGGAAATAGCAGCCTGTACCCCAATCTAGGACTGGTTAAGCAGGACTAGCTAATTTTATGGATTCACCATAGGCTATGTAATAGAAATCAAAATTTCGAAATTAGGCCTGCCTGGGGTTTCAGACTTATTTCCAAGATGGAACATTTGCATGATTAATCAATTATAATCAATGATCGATTATGTAATTCCCATCACTGGTAAATGGACTAGTGATTCCAGATAATAACACGACGTCAGGAGTTTGAATATCTCCCATGAAGCACAGCAATACTGTAGTAAGAGCATCCACCATGCGCAGTGATCTACTCATTTTCTTCGAGCAAAGATTGCCATCAACACTATTACGTATTAATTTCACGCAAGAAAGATGCATGCATTGCTGATCAGTCACAAACCTACTTGGAGTTTAGCAGCGTGTTAATTCAATGGATATATTCATGCCCTCAGCATGTCAATATGCCAATTTCGCATTTCGCAGCGTTAAGTCTCCTGTGTGACTCTTTATCCCACAGGAATCATGCTTTTAACTATCCTAATAATTTCTATTGAAGCTGCAGCATTCGCCCTGCCGCCATTCAATTCTGTATAAACCGTTTACACATCTACCAAAAACACCAGTATCCCCACCTGCCAAGTTAAAATTTAAAATTTAAATTTAAAAAGTGCTCTTTTCCAATGTAAACTGCTAGCTGTATGTGTAATGACCCTTTGTCAAGCTGTCCGGTTAGTAACCACCTGCAGTGAAGTCACTAAAACACAGGGTTAGTGAGCATGTGCAGTCAAAACGTGAAATTGCATCGTACCTGGAACAATACGGGATGAACACGCCCGGTTGTATGTACGACAGCCAGTGTGCGGGGTGCGGCACCGGTCTCTCCTCCTCCACGGTGGTGCTCTCCTGAGACAGCACGAGCCGAGAACCCTGTTCCTCCTCCTTCTTTGTGTTCGGGAAACCTTTCTTGAATACTCTGCAGAGAAAGATATCTAACATTGAACAGCTTACATTCTATATGCCTTTTACACCGAACATCTGTCAGACATTCAGTTTTTTTTTTTTTATGGGGCATCTACATGTGGGCAAGTAGTAAAGTCTGATTGGATCAGGTGAAAGAAAGTAAAGATCAGTTGCACCAATAAAGGTAGTATTAAGTTTTTTAAATACCATTCAAGCTTGAAATAAGAAAGTTTTATAAACATTACTGATGAAAAGATCTATAAAAACAAGACAACCCTTCTCCTTCATATGCACTGCAAGCAGGTTAGGTAAGCAGCGCGGTGGCGATTCAGCCGAGACTGCATTGTTTCCACAAGGGAATTTCACCAGGTCCTCAATTTGACACGTGACCAAACCAAAATATGCACAGGTAGTTAGCACAGGTGCACACTAACCCATCCGCACTGCCAGTCTGAAACGACAGCACTGCATCCCCCTGCCACAGCAGTCTCAGCTGGTGAATCCTCCGCCACTGTCCACACTGAAGCCATGCCCAGTGGAACAACCTGCATTAACTCTGCTGACCTCACTCACCTGTAGAGGTCAGCGATGCACTCACCTGTAGAGGTCAGCGATGCACTCACCTGTAGAGGTCAGCGATGNACCTGTAGAAGGTCAGCGCATGGCAAGCTCACCTGTAGAGAGTCAGCGATAGGCACTCGCCAGCCGGGGACCACCTTAGAGGTCACGCCGATGCCACCTCAAAAAAAAACCTGTAGAGGTCACGCGCATGCCACTCACCCTGTAGCACAGCGTGAGTGCCGATCACGCTGTAAGAGGTCAGCGCGATGCACTCACCTGTAGAGGTCAGTGATGTCGGCTCCTCCCTGTGTGGTTTTCGGCGATGCAGCTCAACCTGTTAGAGGTCAGCGATGGCACTCACCATGTAGCAGGTCAGCGACTGCACTCACGCTAGTAAGGTCAGCGATGCACTTCACCTGTAGAGGCTCAGCGATGCGGCTCAGAATCAGCCTGTAGAGGTCAGTGATGCGCGCTTCGTGCGTATAGCCATCGTTGCCAGCAGGCCTGTCGCACTGTTGTGGATGGCGAAGACGAGGATCGTGTGAGCTGAAGGGGTCAAGGACGAGTCAATCGCTCGACACTGCTGCAGACGTCGTAGACGAACTCGGACCAAAGCAAGCAAGCAGCGCACGGTGATGTCAGACCTGCGAGAACGACGACGGTAAACGATGGTATGACAGACGGTCACTGTTACGGTACAACTAGTGAATGCTACGGCCAGTATAACTACACCTACGATTGTTTACAAGTAGTGACAAAGGGGTGGTGTGGTTAAGCGATGGTCCGTTGTGATGGTACAACTAGTGATGCTACGCAGTATAACTACGACTGTTATCAAGCACGAGTGGTAACGATGGCTACTAGGCTACTACGATGGTTGTTGTTATGGTACAAACTAGGGATGACGTACTAGCAGTAAAGACAAGCTTCGACACTAACTTTTTTTTCAGTGGCCGCGATCGGGCTCACCAAAAATCATATGATTTCAATTTTTGGTGGGCCCGAAAATGAAATCTGGTGCCGAAAAAAAAAAAAAAAGAAAAAAAGAAAAAAAACAATTATTAAAAATCTTTATTCTCAATCTCGTATGTATAATTAATTTGGCAATTGGGCGCGCAATCTGATGCATCATTGCAGCAGTATTTAACAGCAACGCCCACACAATGGCACAGACGCACGTGACATTCGATGATTGAGGCATACATTTGAATTATCTATTCGCACGGCATCAAATTTTCACAGCAGAATCTTGCATACCATTTTCTACTTCAGTCATTATTTATCTAAACACCGCGCGTGCACATGCTATCGATCAGTTCAGACTTCAATGAAGATCAAAGTGCACACGAGCATTGCAATATTAAATACAAGTACTGTAATAAAACAACAAACACATTGGCTTTTCATCGTTAAAATAAAAGCATGTACATTTATTCATGAAAGTTTAAATGTCTGGCAGGCTTTGAAACTTAAAAATAAAATATTGCAGATTTAATAAGATAAAGTAGAAACCATAATTAATCATCACAAAGTAAGCACTGGGTAGTGGGTACGGCATGCATTTAAAAAGAAAAGCAGCACATGTCCTTAAGACTAATTTCAACTATTTCGGGTTGTCGTAAAGAGAGCAGAGAAAATGCAATAAGATAAAACTTACAAAGCACTAATATTACACTTCGGATTAAATATGCTGATGCATCTTCCATGGAATAGTCAGTTATTCTAACGGCGAACTTTCGAGAACGCTGGCAGTTTCGCCTTCGATCCCGAAACAGTGACACAGCAGTGCAGGCTAGCTAGCATCAGGGAAACAGACGTCCCGTATTTACCCATGTGTCCCGCGTCCCGTACGAGACCCTTCCCGGATCGCATGTGTGTCGGCCGTAATTTTTAAATCATTTTAACAAAAATAATCAAAAAAAGGAAGAAAATTTCAATCATTTTTTTATTAGTGACAATTGTTTGCCCTGCGACTCTCATCGCTCGCCGTTCATTTTACATATACGCCGCATCAGCATGTAACTGCAAGACAAGGCGTATTGTCTAGACGCATTGTCCTGGTTCGCTTGGATACAATGTAATCAATGGTATGGCTGGGCTGCAAATATGCGCCCCTATGCTGCAACGTGCGTTACGGTGTCCCTTCGCTCCTTGAATTGCTCGCGTCTCTTTTGATGAGATTAGCACGTCAGAACAGATTATTTTTTATCACATAGACACTTTGAAATTTTTATGGCGCCGATCGGCCACAAATGTTAACTTTGGAAATTTTTGGTGCTCCGGACATACGAAGTTTTTGGTGGCCCCGGGGCCACCGGCCACCGCTAGTGTGAGCTTGAGTAAGAGCTACGCCAGTATAAGCTACTATCCATGCTACTATGGATACAAGTAATGACAGAAGCAAGCAGCAGTTAGGTTTAGTAAGTAACAGTAGCAGCAGTAGCAGCAGTAGTAATAAAGCAGTAGAAATAGCAGCAGTAGCAGTAAGTAGTAGCAGTTAGTAGTAGCAGTAGCAGGCCGTAGCAGTAGTGGTAGCGACAGTAGTAGCAAGCTAGTAGTAGGGCGAACAGGTAGTAGAAGTAGGCAGGTAGCAGTAGCAGTAGTAGCAGTTGTAGTAGCAACAGTAGTAGCAGTAGTAGTAGCAACAGTAGTAGCAGTAGTAGCAACAGTAGTAGCAGTAGTAGTAGCAACAGTAGTAGCAGTAGTAGCAGTATTAGTAGCCGTAGCAACATCAGCAGTAATAACAGTTGCAGAAGTAGCAGTAGCACCAGCATCATCATCATCAGCATCATCCCCAGCAGTTAAAACAACCGTAGCAACATTGCTTCAGCAACCGTCGCACATCGAAACATTACGGAGCCGTACCGCTAACACGATGACCACACACTGAAAGCAGCAGCAGCAGCAGCAGCAGCATCATTATTATTATCCTCATCATTATCCCCAGCAGTTATAACTACCCTCGCACATCGTGAACACATGGAGCCGTACCGCTAACACGACGGCAGCAGCAGCAGCAGCAGCAGCAGCAGCAGCAGTGCACGCCGGGGTCTCACCTGAACTGCTTCACGCGCTTGTACGACGGCTTGGCGCGGGCGTGTCTGTGAGCGAGCTGCGCCAGCGCGTGGTTGAGCACAGTGAGCAGCAGCGTCTGCGCGAGAGCGGGCGGACACGTCTGCCACAGGTCGGCGCGAAGCCGCCGCAGGTACAGGTTCAGCATCTGGATGCTGAACGAGCATCTCTCGTCCTGCGAAAAACAGATGAAGGTATGGACTGTACATCACACAGTGCTACAGCACGGGGTGCACATCACACAGTGTGCATTCTAGTACGTACAGACTGAACATCACAGGTGAGACCGTCAACGAGCTAATCAGTGTGAACGTAACGACTGAAATCACAGTAGGTGAACGTCAACAGACTGAACATCACGAGTGTAACGTTACAGACTGAACATCCACAGTGTGAAAGTACGGACTGAACATTCCCCACAGCTGTGAACGGTACCGGACTGTACATCACACGTATGAACGTACGGACCTGCTACATCACACAGATGAACGTAGACAGCAGCTGAACATCACAAGTGTAACGTACAGACTTAGCATCACAGGGAGTTGAACGTACAGGACTGAACATCACAGTGGTGAACGTACAGACTGAACATCACAGTGTGAACGTACAGACTGAACATCACGTTGAATGTACAGATGTACATTCACAGTCTGAACGTGTACAGATTTACATCACACAGTGATGACACGTACGGACAGTACATCAACAGTCATGAACGTACAGAATGACATTCACCAGTTGTCAAGTACAGACTGAACATCACAGTGTGAACGTACAGACTGAACATCACAGTGTGAACGTACAGACTGAACATCACAGTGTGAACGTACAGACTGAACATCACCAGTTATGAACCGTAGGACTGTCATCCACAGTTATGAACGTAGGACTGTAACACCGTCTATGAAACGTACAGACTGTACATCACACAGTATGAACGTACGGACTGTACATCACACAGTATGAACGTATGGACTGCACATCACACAGTATGAACATACAGACTGTACATCACACAGTATGAATGTATGAACTTGTACATCACACAGTATGAACGTACGGACTGTACATCACACAGTATGAACGTACGGACTGTACATCACACAGTATGAACGTACAGACTGTACATCACACAGTATGAACGTACGGACTGTACATCACACAGTATGAACATACAGACTGTACATCACACAGTATGAACATACGGACTGTACATCACACANTGACGACGACGGTAACGATGGTATGACAGACGGTCACTGTTACGGTACAACTAATGATGTTACGCCAGTATAACTACAACTGTTACAAGTAGTGACAGAAGCAAGAGTGGTAACGATGGTACTAGCGATGGTCGTTGTGATGGTACAACTAGGGATGACGTCACTAGCAGTAAGAGCTGCGCCAGTATAACTACTATCATGCTACTATGGATACAAGTAATGACAGAAGCAAGAGCAGCAGTAGGTTTAGTAGTGACAGTAGCAGCAGTAGCAGCAGTAGTAATAGCAGTAGCAATAGCAGCAGTAGCAGTAGTAGTAGCAATAGTAGTAGCAGTAGCAGCCGTAGCAGTAGTGGTAGCAACAGTAGTAGCACTAGTAGTAGCAACAGCAGTAG